GAAGGTTCGGCCAAACCTTTAAAAAGAAACGTTTGGCCAAACCTTTACAAGAAAACCCTTCCGCCGAATTTGCAGCAACAGGATTCTCATAGATAGTCACTTAAGCCACTTAAGCCATAGAGTCATTGTGTTGAATCGCGGAGAGGAGGGGAATAATTCCAAGAAAAACCCATCGCATCTAGCGCCCGATGTCACCGTTCCTCAGGTGGGGGTGAACTGCTGCAGCGGCACGACTGCCGATTTCCGCTGCGGTGAGCTGCGCCCTCGGTTTCCTCCAGTTGTTCGCTGCATCATGTCAGACCTGCCAGCATGCATTTAGCAGAGCTGTAGTGAATGCAATGGAGGCCTGTGCTTGGATGAGATGTGTCGATTGGTTGCAGGTTTGACAATCCCAAAGCCCGTTCCGGCTTGCGCCTGATGCGCCCCTGGCCTCAGCAGAAGTTTCGAGCTGCGTTCGATGGTGAAAAGGCTCTTGTCCTTTGGCGTTAGGCGAAGACCAGCGGCCCTTCTTCCGCCTCGCGGTGCAGCAAGCGGAGGCCAGTGAGTTCTTGCACGGCGAGAGTGGGTGTCGCGAAGTGACTTGTGCATGAAAGTGGTTTCTGTTGGAGGCGGCCTACAATATCAAAGCAAACCACCCGCTCTTCTTCTACTGGATGCAGGACTGCGGACCTCAGACGCCAGCATCAGCAGACGCGGTTGTTGTGCAGGATCCCGTTGCGGAGGTCCTGAAATACCGCAGCGACGGTTTCAAGCAGCTCGCTTTGTTCGGGTCCGTGGCGTGTCATGTCCCAAAGTAGGAAAGCACTGAGGTATGCACTTATCGCCATCTCCACTTTCTTTGCCTTCAACATTCTGTGTGTCGCTGCAACCCCAGCGTGTGTTGCAGGATCCGCCAACACGGTGGGTGTTCAGTGGCGGGGATGGATGTTGTCATAGCAGCTGTGAGGCGGGGTCGGTGTTTGCTTTCTCCAAGCTCAGCCACGAGTTCTGAGTTCTGGGCCTTGGTGGGATCTTCATTGCATGCCTCACGGCTGAAAAGCTTTGCCAGAATCAGGGCACTCTGCCTCTGCCGACTCTGCATCACTGGCACTGTGACAACTCGCATCACCACCTCTTTTGGAGATGAACTCCGATTGATCCTGTGGCTCCAGGCTAGCTTCCTGCCCAAACGAATCGCTCAAGACAGAGAACGACGGATCGCAATGTGTATTCATCGGGCCCTTTACCGAAGCCAAGCTGCCACTCTGGACGTCGAGCAGTCACCTTTGCAACCAGCACTCAGGCCTCTCATGCACAACAGAGTCCTGCAGTGCGTGTCTAGAATCTAGAGCAATCCCAAGTGGGCCAGCTTTGCAACACCAGCCTGTGCCGCCATGAAGCGCGTGGTGGCCTTGATCCCGGTGGTGTCGGCTGCGGCCTGCCAGTGCGATCGCTATCGCTGCAGGCACACCGCCGCAGCGCCATCCTGTCTATCCCGATTGGAAGTTGACCTGACACGGCCGTCTTTGCAGGACGGAGGATGCCGAGTACGTCTACGCTCTTGAAGAGATGCCAAGTCAAGACATGATCGAGCACGGACCCAAGTCCGACTCCGTCCATCTCTGAACTTGGGAGAGGGCGTGCGCGAGAGACCAGAAAGAGAGAGAGAGAGGGAGAGAGGAAAGCAAAGCAAAGAGGGAGAGAGGGAGAAGGAGAGAGAGAGAGAGAGATAGAGGTCCGACCCTCCAAAACGAGCTGGCTGCTTGTGTCAGCGAGGTGCATGCAAGCCAACAGAGCCTACACACCTCGAGGCGCGAAGCGAAGATGTAGTGATCCGAAGTGCCTCAGCGCAGTTGCCGACAAGGCGATTGCAAGTATTGCTCCTCGTGCGATGGCAATGTTTGCGAGCCGTGCCCTCAATACCAAACTTGTTCAGGCAAAAGCCATCAGAGTCTCACAAGCACTGAGATCATGCAGGTGTCAGGGCAGCATGGCCTGCGACACGTGTCGGCCTTTTCGATGCATCTTGCATTCTCGAGAGACCGGTGAATGGATTTTCCCAGGTTGCTGCCAACGGCGGCGGCGGTTGTGTGCATTGTGCTGGGGTTGATGCTTTGCCTCTTGGGGGTGCGCCATGCTGCATGCAAGCAAGCATCAGCACGCTGTTGTAGTTTTTTAAACAGGCCGTTGATCTCACTTTCAGGTACGTTCCACGTGTTCGTGGTACAAGAGGCACTACAGGGCTCCAGCCTCAAGGATGGACTTGCAATATCTGGTCTAGCATGGGACAACATGAGGTCAAGCCCTACGATGAGTGCGAAGTGCGAACTTGGGAGAAGAAAGCCAGTGTTCGGAACCAAGTGTAAGTTTCTCCGAGAGTCCCAGAATCTCGCCAGTGTGGAGATTTGCCAGGTCGCCATTGGTCTTCCCTGCTGTGGTGCAGCGAGCGTCTGAGAAAAAACTAGAGGTAGGAGCGATTCAACACCGAAGATCGGGATGCCTTCACCTCCCAGGTGCTGTTCGTTGGCGTTGGTATCCTCGTCTGGATGTCTCCTAGCATCCTTGACCAGGCCTGACATTCCTCCTCAGGATCCCTAAAAGAGTCCTCGTGCAAAGCTTGCCTAATACATTCAAGGCGGGCGGTTTTGCCCTCGGCGGATAAGGACCTGCAATGCCAGCAGCATAGGTTTGTAGTAAGAACGGATGCATGTTCCAGTGGCTCCGTGCTGAAGTGCCGCAGGATCTTTGAGTCGGTTTCACCATATCCTCTAGAGAAAAGTGTCACTATGATTGCCAGCGGCGCTCGGAAGTCTCGAATGCCCAGAGCCTGTACAAAGCGTATCCGTGGATGAGTCGTGCCAACGAAGAAACAGGTCCAGCTCGTTGAATGATTCGGGACTCCACTTGGAGAGCGGGACATGACTGCGCCTTCTGAAGCACGAGCTGCGTACAAGGATCTCACGCAGACACAGAAGCGAGCAGCAGGATGCGTGTCTCCACGACGCATGTCCAGCGTGCCCTAACCAGTTCCTGGCCCAAGACTTCGTGGGCCCAACGGCGTTTGCGACTGCAGCCGGACAACCGAAAAACTCGGATCGGATCCCTTTGCCCTTATGGCTCACAGCTTCGATTTACTGGCGGCTCTCCCAGCTGGGCTCAGAGCAGCCGCCATGGCCGGTGGGGTCCCAAGCACCGATGAGGCATTCTGCCAGTGGAAGCGAGATGCAAAGGTGTGGGATCCCGGTCGGAGCTCCTGAACCTGCTCGGCGATGTCAAAGCCCGTGTTCAGGACATCTGGTAGGAGAGGCTTTTCTTTTTGGCTACTGGTAGTTGGGCAGTGTCATGCAGAGTATCGCTATTCGCGGGTGATTTGCTTTGGCTTTGCGCCGGACACTGCCGCTGCAGGACAAGATCGGCATTGTGGACTTTCCGATGCCGGCATCTCAAACCCGAAGCCAAGCACAGCCTTGTGCCTATGCCGCTGCCTCTCAGGCCTCAGTTCATCTTGATTGGCAAGCAATCGGTGGGAAAGAGCAGACTTATCGAGGCGGGGTGAGGGGGGTCCTGTCACCACGACGGCAAAGCTCCCTCGTGAAGGCTCTTGCAGGGGAGACCTTCAACTTCATCTCCGGGACCTTAGGCCCCGCGCAGAAAACCCCTCATTCACGGAACGAGCATGAAGGTTTTGGAGGGGGGCACGAGGGGAGGCTGATGGAGGGATTCTGGCCGTGAAGTGCGGAAGACGAAGGCAGCCGAAGGCCCACGATCCTCGAGTTCCGAAATGTTGCCGGCACGAAGTCATCGAAATGGCCTGGAGCCCTGCGGCACTGCGGCTCTCATGCTGTGTGTTTTTCCGAAGACGTCGAGGTTCGTTCGGGATAGAGCTTCGGGCCACTGGAACGAGCACGAGATCGGCAGAGTCATGCAGCTGGCCCTGACCTGAACGCTCAGGGCATCAAGAGAGATCTCGGCTTCGCCCCCGACTTCGCCCCCTGCGCGAGAATCATGTGGCTTTCAGGTCGGTGATGCGCATGAGGAACTGGGGGAAACAGCTTGGGCCCACAGAGGTGTCCTTTTGCGGACAGACTGAGCTGTTTTTGATGAAGCAGTAGGTTTGCGGAAAGGGAGCTGTTCAGGCGCCGCGTGTCCCGCCAGATGATTGATCAACTAGCCATGATCATGAGGGCAACAGCATCAGGTTTCTGCTGATCCCATTTGCGTTCGTGTCCAGTGCAGCACTCGGAAGTCGCTGAGAGATGCTGAGAGAGTTGACGGGTCCAACCTGTGCACAATCCCCTTTCCCGTGCTCCCCCACCCCCCCGCACTCCGAACGTCCGCATAGGGTCGAGATCTGTTTATGACTCCGAGGTCTCCTGCATGTGTAGATATGCAAATAGTGGATCTTCCGGGCTTCCGGGACTTCGCGCTGGATAGCTCCAAGCAGGAGCTGTGCAACAGGCGGGCCGTCCTCGCTGCTTCAGGTCGCCGTGGGATCGCCCACTCACGTGCGTGCAAGGATCGAAGAGCTCGTGATGCAGTTCATGCGGGATCCTCGCAACGTGATGCTTTGTGTCGAGCAGGTCGGAGCCTTTGCTTTCTGTACCAGTCAAGATTTTGAATCTGTTCAACCGTGTTTGTTTGCCCAGTGTGGGGATGCGGCCACAATGTCCACCTTGGGCAAGTGCCGAAAGATCGACCCGAAGTTCCAGAGGACAGCGGAGGGTGAGGCGCCGCTCTCTTCCTGACTCCCCCCACACCCGGCGAGCGCCAGGACCATTCTCGTTCGAACGAAGTTGGATAAGTACTACACCGACCTGACGTGGCTGGCCAAGAGCAAGATCCGCAGCATGTTGCACAGATGCGCTAGGCAGCGCAAAATCTGCCACTTGAGGCAGGATAACGTCAACCAATGGGTAGACGGCTTCGGCGACCTTCCCGAAAACTTGGTCCGTTTCGCCCTGACGCTTCCTTGGTGGCAGGCTCCGGAAAGTTCCCGGGTAAGAGCTTGGCCTTTTGGGTTTTGAAGCACTGTTGAAGCAGGTTGCCACACTAGCTTTTTCTCTCCACTTGTGGAGGATGGAGAGGTCTGTCCTGCTGACTCCTTCGTGAAGCTACGAGACGACATGAACCAAAAGGACGGCCGACTTTGGAAGCAAAGCCTGTTGCCAACGGAGCCGCTTCATGGTGAATGCCCCTAACTTGGCAGGACATGAAGGAGATGAGGGACCGAATGTTGAAGCCGCAGTACCTAGAGGCAGGCATTGGGCGATACAGCTTTTTGTGTCAAATTCCACTCCACAGTGGTGCACATGCTGTTGCAACAACGCATAACCGTCCAACAGTCCGCTTGTTGGGTGCTAGTTGCCAGACTATCGGCTTCCAGTCCTTCGCTAATTTCATGGAGAAGAAGATCGAACATATGTTTGCTGATGCAATCAACCCTGTGCTCGACAAGCTGAAAGATCTGAAGGCGCCGGAGAAAACTCCGATCTGGTTCCTCCTCGTCCCTGGCACTTGGGCCTGAGTGCAGCCGTGCAGGCCAAGTGGACCTCCAAGGAGCAAAGCCTCGTCACTGAGCACGAGGAGACGGACCCCCACAGGCGCAATCTGAAAGTGACCACGATCAGCTGCATCCCATCAGGACACCTGAAGACAACGGCTGATCCTTTGTGCATGCTTGTTCGACCGAGCTTGGCAATTTCACTCCATCAGCGGGTGAGAGAATCACATAGGCGCACACTTCGCACCGGGCAGCACAGCCGGTCTTACAGCAGCCCTAAGATCTCAGCAGAAAATCAGCGTCACAAGAGAGAGCAATGCACTTGTCGGAGTTCATGGAGATCCCAGCAGTCTGTGCCGACGGTGCACTCTCGGTGTCTCGGGAGCAGCTGCCGTCCCGGACACGGAGAGCTGCTCGGAAAAAGTCAGTTCTTTTCCTTGGAGTGAGAAAGTCTGAGCCCTTCCAAGTTCTCAGCTGAGGACAGCGAGGCAGAGGTTGCCGGAGGCTGCGCG